AGAATCAACATTGTTAGGAAGTCTATGCTTCCTAAAGCAATCTACTGATTCAATGCCATCCTTATTAAAATACCAACATCATACTTTCAAGACTTGGAAAAAATGATTATTCATTTTGTATGGAACCAGAAAAAATCCCGTATAGCTAAAGCAGTTCTTAGTAATAAAAACAAAGCTGGTGGCATAAGCATACCAGATTTTAGACTGTACTACAAGGCCATAGTGGTTAAGACAGCATGGTACTGGCACAAAAATAGAGACATAGACATTTGGAATCGAATAGAAAACCAGGAAATGAAACTAACATATTACAACTACCTAATCTTTGATAAACCAAACAAGAATATACACTAGGGGAAAGACTCCCTATTTGATAAATGGTGCTGGGAGAACTGGATATCCACATGTAGAAGACTGAAACTGGACCTGCATCTTTCTCCACTCACAAAAATAAATTCAAGATGGGTAAAAGACTTAAATTTAAGGCATAAAACAATAAAAATCCTCAAAGAAAGCATAGGAAAAACACTGGAAGATATCAGCCTGGGGAATGACTTTATGAAGAAGACTTCAGTGGCAATTGCAACAACAACAAAAATAAACAAATCAGACTTAATTAAACTGAAAAGTTTCTGTGCAGCTAAAGAGACAACAACCAAAGCAAATAGACAACCTACACAATGGGAAAGGATATTTGCATGTTTTGAATCAGACAAAAGCTTGATAACTAGGATCTATAGATAACTCAAATTAATACACATGAAAAAAGCCAACAATCCCCTCTGTCAATAGGCAGGAGAGATGAATAGAACCTTCTCTAAAGAAGACAGATGAATGGCTAGCAAACATTTGAAAAAATGCTCATTGTCCCTAATTATTAGAGAAATGCAAATCAAAACTTCCCTGAGATATCATCTAACCCCAGTGAGAATGGCCCACATCACAAAATCTCAAAACTGGCTCGGCACCTGTGGCTCAAGTGGCTAAGGCGCCAGCCACATACACCTAAGGTGGTGGGGTCGAATCCAGCCTGGGCTTCCAAACAACCATGATGGCTACAACCAAACAAAAAAGAAAAAAGAAAAAAACCCCAAATCTCAAAACTACAGATACTGGCATGGATGTTGAGAGAAAGGAACACTTTTACACTGCTGGTAGGACTGCAAACTAATACAACCTTTTCAGAAGGAAATAGGGAGAACCCTTAAAGAACTCAAGTTAGACCTCCCATTTGATTCTGCAATCCCACTACTGGGCATCTACCCAGAAGGAAAAAAATCCTTTTATCATAAGGACACTTGCACTAGGCTATTTATTGCAGCTCAATTTACAATTGCTAAAATGTGGAAACAGCCTAAATGCTCACCAAAGCAGAAATAGATTAATAAACTGTGTTATATGTATACCATGGAATACTATTCAGGCATTATAAAGATGGAGACTTTACATCCTTTGTATTATCCTGGATGGAAGTGGAACACATTATTCTTAGTAAAGGATCACAAGAGTGGAGAAGCATGCATCTTATGTATTCAATTTTGCTATGAGGACAATTAATGACCTAGTACATGGTGGGAGGTGTGGGAAGGGGAGAGCAGAGATAGAGAGAGAGAGGAAGAAGGGGGTGGGGGAAAGGAAGAGCAGTGGGGTGGGGGAAAGAAAGAGCAGAAAGAGGGAAAAAGGGAGGGGGTGGGGTCTCGGTGTGTGACACACCTTTTGGGGGCAAGACACAATTGTAAGAGGGACTTTACTTAACAAATGCAATCAGTGTAATCTGGTTTCTTGTACTCTCAATGAATCCCCAACAATAAAAAAAGAGATAGTACAAAAAGAGAACATTACAGACAAATATCCCACATGCATATAAGTATCCAACAAGTTATTATCAAACTAAATTCAGCCAATGTATAAATAAACACCATGGCCAGATGGGGTTTATCTCATAAATTCAAGGCTTGTTCAGTATTTAAAAATAATCAATATAATCTTCCAAGTTAATAAAAAAGCAAAACTACGTAACAATCAATAGATGCCCTTTAAGAAGTACAACAATCATGCATAATAAAAACACTCAGCAAACAGAAGAGAACTTCATCAAGTTCAGTAAGGGTATCTACAAGAAAATCTTAATTGTGAAGAACCAAATGCTTTCCCCCTCAGCACAAGAACAAGTCAAGGATGCCTGCCCTTAATAATCATATGCAACATGATATATTCCTAGCCCAAACAATAAAAAAAGAAAGAAAAGGCACACAGATTGGCAAGAAAAACCCTGCCTTTATTCTCAGATGACATTGCCTATATATAAAACCAAGTAATCTACAAAACAAAATAGTTCCTAGACCTAAGAAATAAGTTTAGCATGATCAGATGATAACACCTTCATGTTCAAATATCAATCGTTTTTCTATGTACAAGCAAGGAATAATTAAAAACCATTTTTTCCTAAAAATTCAAAAAAGGAATTATAAGTAAATCTAGTAAAAATGTATTACATCTGTTTACTGAAAACTAGAAAGTATTAATAAATCAGACTTAAATTAATGGAAAGAGATACCATTCTCAAGAGTTTGAAGTCTCAACATAGTAATAATTGTCAATTCTCTCCAAAGTGATCTATCGATTTAATGCATTAACAATTGAAATTATAGCAGAACTTTTATAGAGATAGAAAAGATACTATAAAAATTTATCTGGGAGGGCAAAGCAGCTATAATAGCTATTATAAAACACTTTCAAAAAAGAATACTGCTGAAGGTATAATACTATCCAATATTAAGAATTACTGTAAAGCTACACTAATCAGGAAAGGGTGGTATTTGCAAAGGGATAGACACATAGATCAACAGAAGACGAAGTCCAGAGACATATCCACAGAAATATGACAAGAAGAAATTTGATCTTTGATTAATGTGAAAAAGCAATCCAAAATGAAAGAAGAAGGTTTTCCAAAAATGATGTTAAAAAAATCACCTATATGCAAAAGAAACAAAAAAAAAAACTAGATCTAAACTTCACATCTTTATACAAAGGCTAACTCTAAATCAGATAATAGATCTAAGGGTAGCACATGAAACTATCAAAAAAATTTGTAGAAAATACAGGATAAAATCTTCATGTCTTTAAGATTAGGATTTGGCACAATGTTCTTAAAAAAGACTTTAAGTGCAGGGTCCATAAAGAAAAATGTGAGAGACATTTGCAACAGAATGTTTACTGCAGCTCAATTCATAATCGCAAAGTCATGGAAACAACCTAAATGCCCATCAACCCATGAATGGATCAACAAGTGGTGGTAGGGCATGGTGGCTCATGCTTATAATCCTAGCACTCTGGAAGGCCAAGGCAGGTGGATTGGTTGAGCTCTATAGTTCAAGACCAGCCTGAGCAAAAAGTGAGACCCCCATCTCTACTAAAAATAGAAAAACCAAGGCAAGATGATTGCTCAAGCCCAAGAGTTGGAGGTTGCTGTGAGCTATGAACCTGCAGCACTCTACCCAGGGTGACAGCTTGGGACGGTCTCAAAAAAACACCCCCCAAACATAAAAACTGTAGTATATTATGCTATACTGTATAAAACTGTAGCATACTATACTATATACTATGCAATATTATCCAGGCATTAAAAAAGATGGAGACTTTACATCTCTTACATTTACTTGGATGGAGCTGAAACACATTCTTCTTAGTAAAGTATCACAAGAATGGAAAAATAAATATCTAGTGTACTCAATACTAATATGAAACCAATACATAAAAAATTACATGCTCACACATAAGTAAATAAATCACAAATATAGTCTAGTATGGGTGCAGGGAGAAGAGGGGCCTGGGGAGTGGGGAAGACAACTGGCAGAAGGAGGGAGGGCATGTGGCAGGATCTCATCTATTGTGCACATTGTGAGGGTATATAACATGCCCCCTGAGTGAAGGGCTCTTTTACAACTGGAACTTTACTCAGGAAGTGAGAACAATGTAATCTAAAAATTTTTACTCTCATATTTATTTGAAATAAAAAAAAAGAAAAATGTAAGAATTTGGATTTCAAAGCTTTTGCTCTGCAAGATACTGTCAAAATGAAAAGACAAGCTATAGATTGGGGAAAATATTTTCAAAGCACATTTTCAACAAAGAACATATATCCAGAATATAAGAAATTTCAAAATTCAACAGTAAAGAAACAAAAACTCAAAATAAAAAATGGACAAAGGGCCTGAATAAACATTACATTGAAGTGACAATAAGAATGGCAAATAAGCACTTGAGTGATGTTCAACATTTTTAGCCACTCAAGAAATGCAAATTAAAACCCCAATTAGATACCACTACCAACCTACTATTAATTTTTTTTAAGTATTAGCAATACAAAATGTTAGCAAGGATGTAAAGCAACTGGGGTTCTTAACTGGCATTCTCAATTGGAAAAGTTACTCTAGAAAACAGTTTGGCAGTTTCTTATGAAATAAATAAATACCACATGATCCAGTAGTCCTATTCTGAGAGCAATAAAACCTTATGTCTGGCATAAAAAGAACTGCACAAGAAGTTCAGAGCAGGTTTGTTTATAATCACCAGAAACTGGAAACAACTCAAATGTCCTTAAATTCCTGTACTGTGGTACATCCAAACATAAAATACTACTCAGCAAGTAAAAGGGACAAGCTACCCATACATGCAGCAGCATGAATGAATTTCAAAGTCATTTGCTCAGTGAAAGAAACCAATCTAAAAACATTACATAAAAAAAAAAAAACATTACATAGTATATGATTCCTATATGACATTCTGAAATAGGCAAAACTTGTAGAAATGAAAGACAGACCAGTAGTTTTCAGGGCAGGGAGAAGAGGGATAATAACAAAGGAATAACATTAGGGAGCATGTTGGGATGATGAAACTGTTCTGTGTGCTGATTGTGGTGTTGGTTAAATTCATAGATCTGTATATTTAAGAAAGGTCAAATTTACTGTATAATTTTATTAAATATATTTATGACTCACCACAGAGTAGAAAAAAAGGTGTTCTGATAGTGTCAAGTTGTCAAACAATGAGTCATACTGTGGGCAGTAGCCCAAGGTTTTTCGAATCTCACTTGTGTCCTTTGAAACATCATATCCACTGATAAAGACCTCTCCGCTGGTAGCAGGATAACAACCTAGAATAAGCAAAAGATATAAGAAACACTAAACTTTGATGAGAGAACATAATAATACATTGCAAATTAATATCTCTAATTCATAGCCAGCTTGTGGATTACTCAAAAGAATTAGGACTACTTCCTACAGAGAAAAATATCAATAGTTCTATTAAGGTGGTGGAATTAGTCATCTTTAAACTTCCTCTTTTCTTTTTCACTTACATATACCTTGTAAAATGTGTATGGAGTATATTGGCAACAAAAACGTTTAAATAATTTGCTACAGAGCAACATATCAGACCAACATATTGCTATAGACCAACTGCAATAAGATAATTGATGTATTTGTGAATCAAATTAATTACTGAGTAGGCATTACAAAAAACAAAGATTTGGAGTATGTTACTTTGTCCTCAAGATATTTAAACACTAATAGTATATAAAGTACATAATATTTGTGTATTGCTAGTGGCAACCAGTCCAGATTTTATCAGGAAATATGCTTTTTTACATATTATCAAAAATGTTAAAAAGAAACGATAGAACCACTTAAATCCAATGATCATTTATCATACTTAGAAATAAATATTCTTTTTTTTTTTTTTTTGAGACAGAGCCTCAAGCTGTCCTCCTGCGTAGAGTGCAGTGGCATTACAGCTCACAGCAACCTCCAACTCCTGGGCTCAAGCAAGTCTCCTGCCTCTGCCTCCCAAGTAGCTGGGACCACAGGC